GAGAATCAGTTAGAACAAGTTCTGTTGTAGAGAATCAGTGAGAACAAGCTTTGTTGTACAGAATCAGTGAGAACAAGCTCTGTTGTAGAGAATCAGTGAGAACAAGCTCTGTTGTAGAGAATAAGTGAGAACAAGCTCTGTTGTAGAGAATCAGTGAGAACAAACTCTGTTGTAGAGAATCAGTGAGAACAAGCTCTGTTGTAGAGTATCAGTGAGAACAAGCTCTGTTGTAGAGAATAAGTGAGAACAAGCTCTGTTGGAGAGAATCAGTGACAACAAGCTCTGTTGTAGAGAAACAGTGAGAACAAGCTCTGTTGTAGAGAAACAGTGAGAACAAGCTCTGTTGTAGAGAATAAGTGAGAACAAGCTCTGTTGTAGAGAATCAGTGAGAACAAACTCTGTTGTAGAGAATTAGTTAGAACGAGCTTTGTTGTAGAGAATCAGTGAGAACAAGCTTTGTTGTACAGAATAAGTGAGAACAAGCTCTGTTGCAGAGAATCAGTGAGAATAAGATCTGTTGTAACGGATCAGTGAGAACAAGCTCTGTTGTAGAGAATCAGTGAGAACAAGATCTGTTGTAACGGATCAGTGAGAACAAGCTCTGTTGTACAGAATCAGTGAGAACAAACTCTGTTGCAGAGAATCAGTGAGAACAAGCTCTGTTGTAGAGAATCAGTGAGAACAAGATCTGTTGTAACGGATCAGTGAGAACAAGCTCTGCTGTAGAGAATCAGTGAGAACAAGCTTTGTTGTACAGAATCAGTGCGAACAAGCTCTGTTGTAGAGAATCAGTTAGAACAAGCTTTGTTGTAGAGAAACAGTTTCAACAATATTCAGAGAAACAGTTTAAAATGAAATTCGATATAACGGTACTTGGACACACAGATCGAGCTATGAATGATGACAGATTACATTTAAGCATTGAACTGTTTTTGTATGGTATTTATGATCTATTTGAATGACACAGCCTTTCAAGCAAACAAAGCATAAGGCGCTTGCTTAATACAGACTGAGAAATTGTTGTTATAAAGTTTGCCTGCTTACAGAACTGCTGTTTATATCTACCATAATTATTCTAGGACAGCAGCGTTAAGTAAAACGGAATGCCATAAGTATATTTGAACAGAAAGGTAAAGAAAAACACACTTCCTCAAATAGCTCAGTTCAAATAATTGAATCAGTATATGTTTCCAAATTCAAATCTAATCCCTGTACTTCCTCCTGTTTACCAGTGAACACCCACAATCCTCACAAGAAGCCACGCGTAAGCATATTCAAAATGAGTTTCCAGGAACTAGAACCGCTTCTTGATAATTTGGGCATTTTGCCAATTCACTTTGACACTTGCTATCATTCATAAAGATTACAGAGTTGTGTAATGACGTGGCCGGTATTGCTAGGAAAGAAAGTAAAAGAAAATCACTAACCGGGTGGAGTTGTTAGAAGTATCTGTTTATGTGTACAATGAAGATGGAATGGGTTTTTTAAGACACAAAGTTGACGATCTCTCGGTGAGATAAGTTGGTAGACGAGCTGTACATACAACGGGGCATCAGATGGTCATTATTTTCACACTTAAGGAAAGTGTTAAAATGTCGAGCCTCCAAAAACGTTACCCTTTTGTCTTTGAAGTCTGTTTTTTTGTCTTTAATTTTAACCTTTTGGATAATAAATGAGACTCGAGAAGTGTAGAAATTGTTATTCAGGGACATCATTCTGTCAATATAATCTGAACATGTATTGAAGTTTTATAATATGTCAATGTTTTCAACCAGTTCATTTTCTAAAACTGAAATATGATTTTGGAAGTTTTAAATCGTATTGGCATGTGTTGATGCTGTTGTAATAATAACTAATATGATGCAAAAGATAGAAAAACTACCAAACATACAATCTTTGGAACAAATGATTTTATTTTATTTTAATGAAGTACAACATCAAATTATAAAGCATTCACATTGGTGCAATTATGAGGTGATCGCAACCTTGCTGGCTTGCATAAACTAGGAAACATGATTGTGACCATGATACATTGGTTATCAACGTCAGCATGTTGGCACACGGAGGAGCGGCATTAGAACTTCCCTTCCGATATCCATCAGAAATAACTGCTTAAATACAAATTATATTTAAGAAAATATGCTGATCACGCTTGGTGAAATTTTGTTTTAATTTGTCATCACGAATTCGGAAATGATATTATTTAACTTGCCAAGGGGGACAACCCAAACATCCCTGTATAATTTGTGACATTCAAACGAAGAAACATTATTTCGAATACAGCGACAGTACGTCCATGATTATATAAAATACTGGTGCTAACGTATAAGTCTGTTTAGTATGTGTGTTTATCAGGGTTATTCTCATTCATGTACTGGAAACCTCACATGAACATTTTAGTAATAATAGTTTACAAGACATGGTCATTTCAGTATCAAGCTATTCAGATAGGCAGATAATGCTCCGATTACAGTAAAGAAATTCACCCAAAACATTTCCGTGTTTGTCCGGAGAAAGTTAAGAAGGGGTTACTTGCAAACATCATTCAAATAAATGAAAGAAGGACACTGCTAGCTCACAGAACTCACGGGAGCAGTTTAAGGAACCACATTAGCTAAACGCACTAGTGCAAACTTCTACAGTCAACCAATCACTGAAAACAGCTCCCCCACCCCCCATTTAAAGTGATAACTGATCATTAGAGCAACTGTCATATGACTCGAAATGGTAATATCACGTGAACAGATTCCCTGTGGAAAGGAGGTAGGTTGATCGTTGTCTGGGTTAAATCAAAACATATCAATAGGCTTCCGGACACGTCCTCTGAAAGTTACCCTCACACTCACATGTTAAACACGCATCTATGTTCTTCATGCATGCATAGGGAGACATTTGGAAGACTTTTGGAAACAAAATGAATGTATTTCCTAAATTCCCAGCATAATTTCAATGACTAGAAACCAAAGCAAACGTCCGCTTAAAGTCCGCACGGAAAAATAGGCAGGTGCATTTTAACACCCTTCTTGGATGTGGTTTTCGATTCAGTTTAGTTTAAACATTTTATTGCCTAACATGAACAAAGGTTAGCTAAATGTTAAAATAAATTATCTATATTTCCTCCTTACATACCTGCATATGATATAGATTCAGTAGGCTGTTTTAAATTAATTATACAATAAATATTTCAAAATTGTACTTAAAACCTTTTGCTGGATTAAATGCATTTTTCGACTTTTGTACCTGGTAGTAAGTATAAACTATTTTATACAGTAGATTCTAACTTTCCGAAAGAGCAGCTTCCATAGGTCATAGGTCATAGCATGAGAATTTGGAATTTGGTTTTATGTAGTGCCTTTTTGTGTGTACGTCAACGTTTTGTTTTGTCAAATATGGAGCTATTACAGCACTGTTATAACGTGCTCTCTCAACACTCTTCATTTTTTTCTGACAGTATAAGTACATAAAAAAGAGAAGGTTTAGAAAGAAAAAAAGAAATTGTATATATAAGTTATTTTTAGTAATGATTTAGATTGGCGAAAAGAAGGCGCCATGTAAGCACTTACCTTTCTTGCACTACAATACCGCTTCACCGCTTCGGGTTTCTATTACAGGCAGCGCTATTACACTGGAAACGTCAGTATACCAATTATATTCTGTTAATATATAATCATCGATATTGTAAAATATCACCATACGCTTATTCCTGTGAAAATGAGCGTATGCAACAAAGATGTAGCATACCATTTCATTATCATGTATTTATAAATATTACATATCGATCTCATGTTTCTATTTTTGTCTTGCACGTGACCATATCGACCTCATGTTTCTAAATTTAGATCCATATATTTCGTTCAATGTGAATATCCAAACGTGATAATGTTGACAGGTAAGATTTAATTTAAACATTAAAAACATACCAAAGGTAGCATGTGTCATAATTTAGTTTATTTTGTTAATCTCTAAAATGTTGATGTTGTGATATGATTCACAAGCTCCGTGTTACAACCTGTATTACATATCTCATGTTATCTATTTACATGCTTTATGTAATAAAATAATTAAGGACTTTGTCTTGGTTAATACATACTGACCTCGACAAAAGTCTAACATTGATAAATATATGTATAGACATATGTGATTATATTTATATTTTGAGACACATGCACATTTACCGATGCATTTTATTTTGAAAACCAGTGTAGAGTATAGTATGTTTACATTACCATAGAAACAATAACACTGATTATTATCTTTATAAATGAGGAAATCCAGTTGAACAAACAAAATTGGTGATGCCTTGAAGCTTACTCGCATAGACCATCACATTACTGCAGGGTGTTTGATATTGTGTAAATACTTCTAAAATATATCCAAAAATATTTTTACTCCATTGATGAAATAATTACAAAATGTAGCCGAAAATCTACCAACCTAATGCTGCACTCTACCCAATTACCAATTTAAACCATATGCTACTTGGCATTTAAAACAATTCTCTGTGAACCAAGTCTGAACACAACCTATAGCGAGCCCCTCAGTCTGTCTAGTTGATGTAACGGGTGAATTGGTGGAGCGGCGAACTTCTAATTGAACCATAATTTATATAAATCAATACGTAGATACTCATCTATATCGATACTATACATATTTGCCGCAATTAAGTAAAGCACCACCAATTCTGCTCGTTTCCGAATCAATGGCAATGAGCTAGCTACACTGTTGTAAGGGCAGCTCGACCACAGTACAAACACTATACATTGGGAAAATTATCCGTTCTATTAAACAAGCCGTACTACTATCTGCCAGAGTAACTCGCTTTGCTCCAGTGGTAGAATTTCTTCAATGATATCACGACGGACTGCTCGGAATTGCTGATAGGCAGACGACCGACGCTCTCGCAAGCTTGGGAGATAGAACGTATCGTGAGTGAGCGCTGCAGCGCGGGACTACACTGCACGGTACGGCAATACCAAACGTAGACTAGGAGGAAAAATCAATACGGATGTCTTTCGGCTGCAAAGGCATGAACACTGGGGCATAAATAAAAGGGCTATATGCACAAGCAACGGAGGATGGGTGATATCGACAGTACAGTTGTATTTGTACACGCAGGGAAGTGAACGTAACGTGGACTACGTCCGGCTGGGAAGGATACCGTTCACCTAACAAACACCTATTCCGTAAGTACACTTCTACACCGTTCTAGGAAATGCCCATCTACCATTCATAATTCCGCCTGCTCTTACTATCAGTGAGGCAAGGATTACTTTCAGCTTAAGGTAAATCGCACTGACTTCGTTTACTGTTCTCAATGGCTCTTGTAGCACTAGCAACATGGTTTGTAAGACCAATTCTGTCTCCTGTTTGTTTCGTACTGTGTTTGTGACTATGTAGACCTAAATTGTTCTTAGACATTGTGATCACATATGACCTGGTGATACCGCAGATAAGAGAGTGAGTTCAGTGGGGCACGCACTGTGTCGGTAACACATGTGTAGGGCAATTTATACGAATACCGACAACAGCATGCACAAAGGTACGCATCGGCATCATACCCTGAATATATGAACATATAAATCCTTTTACTTACATACTAAAATACAAATGATGGTATTTTCTTCCATTAAAACCTCATTAACATAGCTTTCATTTTACAACAGTAATAACAAATAAGGTTACGCCGCATCTGTGACATGAACGTGAATCAGTGAATGGGTGTAATGGCTGTATTGATATGCTAGACCATTATCAAGCCACATGTAAATGACTGCCAAACCCACGTGCTCGTAACATCACATATTACAATCACATACATTTGTGTTTCCATCTTCTAGGTTGTATATGTAATTAGAAGGCTTTCTTACAATTAACAACAGCGAAACTGACCAATGATATAGCAAATATTAACTATGACAACTTTAAACTGTACCCATTCTAAATTACGTACTAATAACGTTGACAGTTCAAACCCATTTCACTGTTAAACCGAAATAGTATTTATATATATATTCACTCCCTTGTGAGTGAGCCATTTCCGGTCCAAATCCAAAAATAGTTAAAACGAAGAATACTTGCCTAAAGTTGCGTGCTCACGTTAGTATCAGTATTACTGACGAAAATATACCTGCTTTACCCATTCGTATAAACTAACCATACTGGGCTATGTCAACTTAACAGTCAGACTCTAAATGTTCCCCAAAACGAATGATTGTTTAAGAACCATATTGCATACAAAGTAACAAAGATATCTGTAGCATTTCTTTATATCAAATACACGCTTTACGCCACCAACTAAAACCTTACACCAGAGATGTTTTATACATTTATTTTAACGTATAACCCGATGCTTGCTGTAGAGATACGTTCTGTACATATGTGCCTGTGTTGTCTGTAGAACCTCCAGTAAATACAAACCTCTATCAGTCTGCCTTCCTATAGTGTAAATATTTAATGGTACCTATGTTTGAGTTCATACAAGACTTATGGTACGGACCATATCACAATACTCTTCCTTGAATTATTGATTTCAGACCCATTCAAAGCCACACGACCTCGTGTTCAATATCTTGCCACAACAGTGAAGAGACGGTGTTTTAATTTTTCAAGATATTTTAAAAGAAAATATAACATTGCGTCATACATATTTCCAAGAAATATTATTCTGTTTGAGAATGCAGAGGAAATCATATTGAATATTTTTTCTGATTCTTGAACAGAGAGATATACACGGTACAGTGTATTCTTTTGTCACATATGGGGATATATTGTGGCATTGTCCGTAGTCATAGATAGTTGTACCAGGAAGAGTGTGTGTCTCATGACCAGTCATGGATGGACATTGCAGGTTCTATGCTCTTTTTGGAAAGGGGACGTGGTATTGGGCCACTAAGGGGACGCGGTATTGGGTCACTAAGGGGGCGTGGTATTGGGCCATGTGTGTTCCTTGATAAAGGATGGCGGTACTGTACAATGAACGCCAATTAGTAAAAGATGGCGAAATCTGGTAATATATGTTCCTTGGTCAGGATCCTGATATAAGGAAACGTGTTTTCAATTGTCAGGGGTGATCCTGTAGGGTAGTGTGTCCTTACTGGAGAGGAAAGGTGGTATGAGGTAATGTATTGTTTTTGATAGCAAAGTTTGATATCGAGTAACTGTATATTTCATGATCAGGGATAGTGAAATCACTGAATTGTGGTTGTGTGTTTCAATTGGTCACGGATAGTGGTTTCATGAAAAGTTTTCCTTAATGAGAGATGAATGTATCAAGAATATGTTCTTCTGTGAGTGTTCCTGGTATAAGATAGATATTTGGTGTTCCTGTGACAAATCTGCTAGACTATTCGATGCTAATTACTGATTGATTCATGTCGATAAAAATATTTAAACTATTCATTTAATGATAATTTTTATGCAACATCCTATGAATATTGCATATAGAAACAAAATCGTTGACAGGAAGACATTTAACGTCAGATAAACTAACAGGAAGGCAGCTCACATTTAGCTTCATATTAACCGACAGGAAGGCAGCTCACATTTAACGTCACATTTAACGTCAGATAAACTAACAGGAAGGCAGCTCACATTTAACGTTACATTTAACGTCAGATAAACTGACAGGAAGGCAGCTCACATTTAACGTCATATGTAACGTCAGATAAACTAACAGGAAGGCAGCTCACATTTAACGTTACATTTAACGTCAGATAAACTGACAGGAAGGCAGCTCACATTTAACATCACATTTAACGTCAGATAAACTAACAGGAAGGCAGCTCACATTTAACGTCAGATTAACCGACAGGAAGGCAGCTCACATTTAACGTCATATTAACTAACAGGAAGGCAGCTCACATTTAACGTCACATTTAACGTCAGATAAACTGACAGGAAGGCAGCTCACATTTAACGTCATATGTAACGTCAGATAAACTAACAGGAAGGCAGCTCACATTTAACGTCATATTAACCGACAGGAAGGCAGCTCACATTTAACGTCACATTTAACGTCAGCTAAACTGACAGGAAGGCAGCTCACATTTAACATCACATTTAACGTCGGATAAACTAACAGGAAGGCAGCTCACATTTAACGTTACATTTAACGTCAGATAAACTGACAGGAAGGCAGCTCACATTTAAAATCACATTTAACGTCAGATAAACTAACAGGAAGGCAGCTCTCATTTAACGTCAGATAAACTAACAGGAAGGCAGCTCACATTTAACGTCATATTAACCGACAGGAAGGCAGCTCACATTTAACGTCATATTAACTAACAGGAAGGCAGTTCACATTTAACGTCAGATAAACTAACAGGATGGCAGCTTACATTTAACGTCACATTAAACGTCAGATAAACTGACAGGAAGGCAGCTCACATTTAACGTCAGATAAACGGACAGGAAGGCAGCTCACATTAAACATCAGATTAGCTGACAGGAAGGCAGCTCACATTAAACGTCAGATTAACAAACAGGAAGGCAGGTCATATTAAACGTCAGATTAACTGACAGGAAGGCAGCTCACATTAAACGTCAGATTAACTGACAGGAATGCAGCTCACATTTAACGGCAGATAAACTGACAGGAAGGCAGCTCACCACATTTACCATCAGACTAGCTGACAGGAAGGCAGCAAACATTTAACCATTGTACAGTGGAGTTACCAATGGAAGAGCAGCCACGATTTTATAGCGGAGCTACCAACAGAAAAGCAGCCACTATTACACATTGGAGTTACCAACAGAAAAGCAGCCACTATTACACATTGGAGTTACCAACAGAAGAGCAGCCACCATTATACAGTGGAGTTACCAACAGAAGAGCAGCCACCATTATACAGTGGAGTTACCAACAGAAGAGCAGCCACCATTATGCAGTGGAGTTACCAACAGAGGAGCAGCCACCATTATACATTGGAGTTACCAACAGAGGAGCAGTCACCATTATACAGTGGAGTTACCAACAGAGGAGTAGCCACTATTTCACATTGGAGTTACCAACAGAGGAGCAGCCACCATTATACAGTGGAGTTACCAACAGAAGAGCAGCCACCATTATAAAGTGGAGTTACCAACAGAGGAGCAGCCACCATTATACATTGGAGTTACCAACAGAAGAGCAGCCACCACTAGACAGTTGAGTTACCAACAGAAGAGCAGCCACCATTTTACATTGGAGTTACCAACAGAAGAGCAGCCACCATTTTACATTGGAGTTACCAACAGAAGAGCAGCCACCACTAGACAGTTGAGTTACCAACAGAAGAGCAGCCACCATTTTACATTGGAGTTACCAACAGAACAGCAGCCACCACTATACAGTGGAGTTACCAACAGAGGAGTAGCCTCTATTTCACATTGGAGTTGCCAACAGAGGAGCAGCCACCATTATACAGTGGAGTTGCCAACAGAAGAGCAGCCACCATTATACAGTGGAGCTACCAACAGAAGAGCAGCCACTATTACACAGTGGAGTAACCAACAGAAGAGCAGCCACCATTATACAGTGGAGCTACCAACAGAAGAGCAGCCACTATTACACAGTGGAGTAACCAACAGAAGAGCAGCCACCATTATACAGTGAAGTTACCAACAGAAGAGCAGCCACCATTATACAGTTGAGTTACCAACAGAGGAGCAGCCACCATTTTACAGTGGAGTTACCAACAGAAGAGCATCCACCATTATACAGTTGAGTTACCAACAGAAGAGCAGCCACCATTTTACATTGGAGTTACCAACAGAACAGCAGCCACCACTATACAGTGGAGTTACCAACAGAGGAGTAGCCTCTATTTCACATTGGAGTTGCCAACAGAGGAGCAGCCACCATTATACAGTGGAGTTACCAACAGAAGAGCAGCTACCATTATACAGTGGAGTTACCAACAGAGGAGCAGCCACGACTATACAGTGGAGTTACCAACAGAAGAGTAGCCACCATTTTACAGTGGAGTTACCAACAGAGTAGTAGCCACCATTTTACAGTGGAGTTACCAACAAAAGAGCAGCCACCATTATACATTGGAGTTACCAACAGAGGATTAGCCACTATTACACATTGGAGTTACCAACAGAAAAGCAGCCACTATCACACATTGGAGTTACCAACAGAAGAGCAGCCACCATAATACAGGGGAGTTACCAACAGAAGAGCAGCCACCATTATCCA